GGGGAGCTACCCAGGTTTTTTTTGAGAGAGAGACAGACAGGATCTCACCAAGTTTCTTAGGACCACACTAAATTGCTGAGGCTGGCTTTGAACTTGCAATCCTCCGGCCTCGGCCTCCCAAGATATGGGGATATAGGCATGTGCCACTGTTAGTGATTTTTAACAAGAAAGCTCTTCTTACTGTGTTTGGGGAGAAGGGACTGATGTTTCAATCTTGTTACTTTTGTGGTGCTACAAACTATACACTAGTAACAGAAATGTAAACTCTGGTATACAATATATTTAATGTTCATTCATCCTTTCAACAAATATTTATTACTAGTATTTCAGGACAAGGCTAGGCACCAATAAACAAAACAGACACTATTCTCTGTCCTTATGGGGCTCAAAGATTAATTTTTAAACAGCATTGTATTAGACCTTAGCTTTTTACCTGTGCATCATAAATCCGATGCATAGCTTGATACAATTGGTTCATATAGTTGGAAATAGCTGTAGCATCTTCTTCAAAAACGCCTAGTAAAGACCTTGTCTGTATAAAAGAAAATAAATTAAAAAGCTATGTTAATTGGTATATAGATAAGATGGGAAAACTTTTTTTTCTAAAAGAAGCAAAAATAGTAAGATAACAGAGCTCCAGTAATTATGAGTTTTAATCTATTTTCTCTTTTTACAGTAATGCTAAGAAGTCAGGGGGTTTTTTTTCTCTGTTTCACTTCATTAAAAATGAGGTATTTTCCAACTACATCACAATCTTTTCCCAAATATGTTACAAAAACTTTAGGAGGAACAATAAAGGTGTAATTTTATTGGTTAGAATTTCTGTAATTGTATTAAGAAGAAATACTACAGATTAAAATTTAAAATTTTAAATTCTGCACTTAAGATGGTAGATGAGAGGGGCTTGGGATGTGGCTCAAGCGGTAGCGCGCTCGCCTAGTATGCGTACGACCCAGGTTCGATCCTCAGCACCACATACCAACAAAGATGTTGTGTCCGCCAAGAACTGAAAAATAAATATTAAAAATTCTCTCTCTCTCTCTCTCCTCTCTCTTTAAAAAAAAAAAAAAAGATGGTAGATGAGAGAACAAAGGTAGTGTAGTGTAGTAGGCTCCTAAAATGCAAGAAATAAAATCAAGAATCAATAAATGGGATGGCTTCCAATTAAAAAGTTTCTTCTCAGCAAAGGAAATAATTAAGGAGAGGAGAGAGCATACAGATTGGGAGAAAATCTTTACCACATGCATAAATCTCTAGGATATATAAAGAACTAAAAAAACACCAACAAAACAAATAACCCAATCAATAAAAGGGCTAAGGAACTAGACAAACACTTCACAGAATAAGAAATACAATTGATCAACAAATATATGAAAAAGTGTTCAACAACTTTAGCAATTAGAGAAATTCAAATCAAAACTACTCTAAGATTTCATCTCACTCCTGTCAGAATGGCAATCATCAAGCATACAGGCAACAATAAATGCTGGCAATGATGTGGGAGAAAAGGTACACTCATACATTGCTGGTGGGACTGCAAATTGGTGCAACCGCTATGGAAAACAGTATGGAGATTCCTCAGAAAATTGGGAATGGAACCACCATTTGACCTAGCAATCACATTCCTTGGTTTATACCCAAAGGACTTAAAATCAGCATACTATAGTGATACAGCCACAACAATGTTTATAGCAGCTCAATTCACCATAGCTAGACTATGGAACCAACCTAGGTGTCCCTCAATGGATGAATGGAAAGAAAATGTGATATGTATACTCAATGGAATATTACTCAGCTTTAAAGAAAAGTGAAATTATAGCATTTGCCAGTAAATGGTTGGAGTTGGTGAAGTAAGCCAATCCCACAAAACCAAAGGCCGAATGTTTTTCTAATATGTGGATGCTAATTCACAATAAGGAGGGAAGCACTAGGGAAGAATAGCATTACCTTAGATTAGGTAGAAGAAAGTAATGGGAGGGGAGAGGAAAGATAGCAGAATAAAACAGACAGTATTACTGTGAAAAAAAAAAAAAATATATATATATATATATGACTACATGACCAATATGATTCTGCAACATGTACACTCAGAAAAATGAGAAATTATATCGCATCTACGTATAAGTGCATAAACGCATTTTACTGTCATATATAAGTAATTAAAACAAATTTTTTAAAAATTTTAATTCGATACTTAAACTAAAAACAAATCAACACAAACATTCAAAACTTAGGGGCCTGAGGGTTTAACTTTCTAGTAAAGCATCTGCCTAGCATGTCTCTCTGGGTTTCAACTTCGGCTTAAGAGTGCCACACACATACATACACACACACACACACACACACACACACACACACACACACACTAATTTAACAGTATTCTATTCATAAATATTTAAATGCTTTATTATAGGATAACCTAATATGATTATTTCCTTTCTTAAATGGTCTCTTCTTAGTACCAAATCTCCCTCTGTCCTAATCTAAAATAATACCACAGTACAGTCTACAAAATAGTAACTAGGTTTTTCTGAATGAAGGATTTTAGTTTCCTCTTCATATGTTTCTATATTGTTTGGCATTCTTTTTTCTACAATGAGCAACTTAAAATGATATTTATTCTAAGGGGGAACACTTGTAAATAAGTAATAATGTCAATAAAATTATCAAAGATAGTAAATGGTGGAACAAGCTTGTAATCCCAGCTACTTGAGAGGTAGAGGCAGGAGGATCACCAAGTTCAAGGCCAGTCTGGGCAATTTAGCAAGACCCTGTATCAAAATAAAATAAAAGAGACTGGAAATGTAGGATATGGCTCAGCAGTAGAGTGCCCTGGGTTCAATCCCCAGTACTAGGGGGGGGAAAAAAATCAAAGAAAAGAAAACTCAGTTTATCAAAAGCAAATGATGATCACCATTTTTTTCCCAAAGGCAATGGAAAAATTAGAATACTAATAAGTACTGAGATAACTTAAGCTTAAAAATCTAAAAAATGACCTTATATTTTATTCCCTAGCTTCTATTCCTTTCGTCCAGAAGTCAAAAGCTAAGTCAATACAGTATAAAGTGGGAAGGGTTGGGGGAACACAAGATTATTATTATGCTGGTTTAAGCAGTCCATATTATCAGTCCCCTACTTCCCCAGGCCTCTGAGATTTGGATTTGATAGAAGCTGTTTTTAGTTTAGTTTTGATTTTTTAATTTCGGAGACATGATCTAAATTGCTCAGACTGGCTCAGCTCAAGCAGTCCTCCTGCCTCAGGCTCCAAGTAGCTGAGAATACAAGCACACACCACCTGCTAAATTTGACATAATCTTTTTCACTCTAGTGCTCTAGCTTTACTCCCATTCCCATCAGTGCTATCTTAAGATGTAAAAAAGATGGACTGGGGATGGAGGTTAGTGAGAGAATACATGCCTAGCATGTGCAAATTTCACGGTTCAATGCCTAGCACCACAAAAAAAAAATTTTTTTTTAATATGTCTGTGTAAAAGAAAGCATCAGGGCTGGGAATATAGCTCAGATGATAGGATAACCTAATAACCAATAATCCTCAATTGGTAGGATAACCTCACATGCACAAGACCTTGGGCTTAATCCCCAGCAAAACATACACACACACACACACACACACACACACACACACACATCAGGAAATCTTGATAGGCCAGTACCCCACCCCCCTTTTGGTACTGTGGACTGAATCCAGAGGTATCTACCACTGACCTAGTTCTTTTCTATTTTTATTTTTGTACTAGGGATTGAACTCAGGGGCGTTTAACCACCGAACCACATCCCCAGCCCTTTTTGTATTTTATTTAGAGATAGTGTCTCACTGAGTTGCTTAGGGCCTCACTAAATTGCTGAGGCTAGCTTTGAACTCAGGATCCTCCTGCCTCAGCCTCCTGAGTCTCTGGGATTACAGGCTTGCTCCAGCTAGGCTTTTTTATGTTTTGATATTTTGCCTTTATATTTATGGAAACAAACCTTCAGACAGATGTTATCATACATGCTCTCATGTAAACATTTAAAAAATATATAAGCAGCATAAATTTAATATATTCCTAAAACTTTTATACTCAGTTCAATCAACTCATAAAGTCCAATAAATCATTTTCCAATCCACGTCCTAAATATCGATGTTTTCTCATACTTTTCTCAGTACCACGGGATGACAAGTATTTCTTAGAAGTGCTTCAGTTTAGTCTCTAACTTTTTTTTTTTTTTTTTTTTTTGTATTGGGGATTTAAGTCCTTGAATTTGCAATCCTGCTTTCTCAGTCTTCAAGATCATGGGATTAAAAGACATGTACCACCACACCCAGTTCCTAAAAATTTCTTGTAAGAGATAGATGCTTGTTAAGTTTTGATGATAAGGCTTGTTTCTACCAGATAGAAAAGTAAGATTTTCAAACAACCAGGACTGACTTTCTTTCCTCAAATTAATTTGTTGGCTGAATGCAAAGACTGCACTTGGACACAATTGCCACTAGGAGCAACAACCAAAATGTACATTTGCATACAAGGGAGAGTGGAGCTGCCACCTGGCTAATAGCAATTGTTAAAATACCACAGACACCATGATCACACATGCCTATAGTTCCAGCTACTTGGGTGGCTAAAGCAGATGGATCACTTCAGCTTATGAGTTTGAAGATAGTCTGTGCAACATTATGAGATCTTGTTTCATTAAAAAAAAAATAAATAAACATCTCTAAGGGGAATTACAATCTGAGATGTCAAAATGTGGGGGAGCACACTCCATAATCAGGAGTATTTCATGTTATGAAAAGAAGGAAGCCTCCATTTGTGAACAAGGTGGTTTTCAATATCGTATTATACATGAATCATTAAGATATATATACATAAAATCAGTTATTTTTAAAGGTTGTTAGTAATTATAAAGTTTTATTTTGATTCTGATTTTCGGAATAATATATAAATACAGACAAACCATCTATTGTAGGCTTAAGATTTTGTGCTTCTACAGGTAACTTTTGCAGAATGGTATGGTTTGGGCAAAATAATTCTAAAGATATTTACATACCTGTAATCCCAGCAACTAGGGAGAATGAGGCTGGAGGATTAAGTTCCAACTCAGCCTCAGCAAGTTAGAGAGACTATCTTAAAATTTAAAAACATTAAACGGACTGGGGATGTACCTCAGTGGTAAAGCATCCCTGGGTATGAAAATAAAATGGGCTCAGTGTTAGAATGCCTTATAGTGGGTTCAATTCCCAGTATATTTTTTAAAAAATTTAAAATTAAGGAAAAGATAACTATAATCCCTGATGGCCTTTCATGACTCCCAAGCTCTAATTTTTTTCACATAGCAACAACAGGTCACTTTTGATAAGGATCAATTAATCTATTAAAAAATTTGTATTAGGAACTTTAAAAGTTTCATATACTCTATTATTTCTTAGGCTTACATAGTCCAAAATAAGAACAAAAATTTTTGCCTAAAAGCATTAATTTCAGTCCCTATTTTGGGGGGGGTGGGTACTAGAGACTGAACCCAGAGGTGCTTTACCACCCAGCAACATTCCCAGCCTGGTTCATTTTATTTATTTAT